AAGAATAACTGCACTTGCTCTGCTGTGCTTATTGGGAGAGGTTTACCATGGTTTTTATTAGGGGTACCAAGTATACCACGAGATTTCTTCAATTCACGAGCTTGTCTAATTAAATATTCAGACACACAAAAATACGAGGCTGCTTTTGGGATTGACCAAGACTCAGGCGTGAGAGTAAGGATCTTAATTTTCTCTTCAGATGTGGTAGTTCCTAATGTCAGTTTTTCTCGCATTTGCTCCGTCAGCTTGTCAAGGTCACTGGCCTTTTTTTTCATTTCTTCAGATACCGACCCTTTTGAACACTTCTCGTTTTCTGCTACCAAACTACTTTCTTCCACACCAACAGCTGCTGCAAATGATCGTTTAAGACAGCCTACAGTTCTGTCTATCTTCTCATTAACATAAGATACTCTGCGATGCTTTGGCATACTGTGTGTTGTGATAGGTGAACCTCCAATCGACTCAAGACTTCTGTTCAAGCTATCTCTTGATAGGTTTCTTGCTTCATCTGAATCAATCTCGTCTGTTGAAAAATCTGTTGTCGTTGAATCTAACTTATTCGGTTCATGTTCAGATTGCGAGGTCTCCTTGTCGACAATAGTTTCATCTTTTTGCGCATTATCATAGCATGTCCTGCAAAGCTGCCAACCGGGAACACATTCATATCTGAGGTCAACAAGTTTTGTTGCTAAGTGTAATGAAATTTTATGGCCACCTTTAACATTTCGCTTGTGAATTTTGAACAAATTGCAGCATTTAGTAAACCTCTTCTCAAATATTGTTCCTAGTTTTGCATTGTGGTGGTAGCATATCTGTAATTGTTCTGCATCAGTGACACATTCCCTCTTTCCTCCTCTCCACAGAAGGAGATTCCGTTCCTCATCTGTGAAATCTGCAAGATTTTTCAAACCAGTTCTCCGCACATATGATGTCTTATGGCAATCTCCTGGATTTACACCAAACCAACAAAGTTCCATGCAGTTATATACTATGATCACACAATAACTTATCTAATTCCTTTACTTGCCACTCGATGTGAATTTTAACTATAACTGACGGTTACACTAGACGCCACATATATACCATCTGATTAACGATGTGTAAATTATGTTGATGCTATAAATTTACATTTCTAAAGACACTGTACTAGAAAAATCATTAGATATTATGATGGTATTTCACTGGTGATACCAATTAATGGTGGTAAATACATGGCTCATGAAATTATTAAGCATATAAATTATGTTCTGGAAAATCACTATAGAAATGGGGAAACTACTGCGAAAGGCATTAGTGGTGGTTGAACAACTTCTAAACAAATAAAAAAAAATCATTTTGCATAGATTGATTGTACATTAGTATTACTGAATAAATTATACATTTCCAATGCCGGAAAAAATGTCTTGTAAATTAAATTTTTGAACGGGAGCTGCAATTTGTCTCCGTCATATGCAAATGGTTAAATTAGTGTTTTCTGATAGTTTGAAGTGTGTTCTTTCACATGACATACACAATAACCCCATAATTGCTCGGAGACATAACGAAAATTTGCCCTGAAACGATGACGTCAAAAACTTGTCAAAACCGGAAGTCGTAATTTATTGGCAAACATAAAGCATGTGCTACTATTTTATCGTATTTTAAATATGATTTTCAGATTCGCCGTCATAAGAAGGTTCAGAATGCGAAATTGCAGAGTATAAGCACGTATACAAAATATTTTAAGAGGTTTTAAAGTTAGGTATTTTAGCGGAAGTGAAATTTAAGGTAGCTTTAACGCTAAGACCAGTAAATTTTTGATGAGCCATAAATCAATAATCGTTTGAGATATTAACTTCAAACTTTGTATACATTCATTTCTTACATATTGCTATTAATGATTAAAAAATTAGCCAAATCCAAAGTAGTGGGTTACAAATTTCAAAAAAATCTGATGATTTGACATGGAATGACCCCTGGGCAAAGATGGCAATGGTATAGTGCTGTGTAAACTCCGGTTTTTCCCCTCTGGCCGAATTATAGCTCTGAGCTCCGGCCACATCATAGCTCTGAACTCCGGCTATTTTGCAACACGTATATATATATATATATGTTCTATACAGAATATTAGATTATAATATATTATTATATATAGTCTATAACTGAATAATACAGAATATGATATAACTTAATTTTGTTACCAGTACCAAGGCTTTTTCTTGGTGAACTAAGTGAAAGAAATCTAGTGACAGAAATTGTGTAAACTTTATAAAACTAAAATACTGAATTTAGTACACTAACTACAAAAGTAACAAAACAATAAAATACAAGTACACATTGCCAAAATCAGTGTTTATTAAAAACGTATTGTTGTTGAACTTAATATGAACACTAATCGTCCAATGTTGCCTGGAAGGAGCGCACATTTCTTTGACACAATGTTCTCCGTCAACAAAATGACACGCCTATTTATTTATGTTTAAATTTTTTTTTCTCTTTCAACGTACGACGTATTGCCTCGTTCTTGTTTATTTATTAACTTTACAATCATACAAAAATTATAAAAATGATTGAAGGTATGGTCAACAGTACATGAGTCCCATGTGAAGACCAACCTGATACGATATAATACAATAGGTAGACACACATTAAAGACAAGGACTAGAACACTATTTACATAGCTATATAAAAATTAATAGTTTAGATTATGGGCAACAGCTTAAGTTGAAAGAACAGCATTTAGAGCAGAAGGTTTTCCAAGTGCACATTCTGTTAAGATTGAAAAAAGAGTCTAATTGAGAAGAGTAGTGAGAATGGAGCTGGAGCTCAAAGGATGAAACAGACAAACTGTTACGAATGATCGGAGAGAGATTGTTCCATAGAAAGACAATTCGGTTAAAAAGAGTTTCTAAAAAGAGAGGTTTTGCATGGATTGACTTGAAGCAAGTTGTCCTTACTTGAACGGGTGCGAGATGAGCGATTAGAAGAAAAGGTGACAAAAGAGGAGATATCTAGGTCGTAGAGGCCTTGTTTGCATTTGGAAAAAAAGACGAGGTCCTTTATTTCAAGCCAGTAAGATATAGGCAATAAATTAAGTTTCCTAAGACGCTCAAGATAAGGCAACTCATAATTTTGAAGAATAAATTTAGTAACTCATCTCTGAAAACCTTCCAGGATCGCAAGATCGTGTGACGAGGCTTGGGGTGCCCAGATCTCACTGGCGTCAGACAGGTGAGATCGGACAAGTGAGAGATAGAGAAGCCAACGGCAGCGAGTATCAGTCATTTGAGAACAATTTCTCCGAAGAAAATCAAGCAAACAGTTGGCTTTAGCAGTACAGCTGGCAATGTGAGGGGACCACTTAAGGTTATTGCTCACAACCACACCCAGGTCGACTTGATTGGCTACAATCTTAACAGGTTGATTGTTAAGGTGGTAAGAGTGAGTTGGAGAGTTGCGTTTTCGAGATACTCTGAGCAACAGTGTCTTAGATACATTAAATTTCAATTGCCAAGAGATCGACCAGTTGTGCATAGTTAAGATCAGTCTGTAGGAGATCACGGTCGGCTGGTGACTGAATTGCACGGTAACATTTACTGTCGTCAGCAAAAAGTGCAACAGTAGAATTCTTAGTTACCTCTGGAAGATCATTCACATACAAAATGAAAAGTAGTGGACCTATGACACTACCTTGTGGCACACCAAATTTAACACGTTAAGGAAAGATGAAGAAACTCCTTTGATAACGACACGCTTTTTCCGATTATGGAGATAATCAGTCAACCAGTTAAGAAGTTGACTGGAAATTCCAAAAGATTTTAGTTTAAACAAGAGTTTGCCGTGAGATACGGAGTCAAAAGCTTTAGGAAAATCAAGATAAAGAAGATCAATTTCATTGCCAGAATCAAGAGCACGACCGAGAAACACATTCAAAAGTTGAGTAACACATGACCTATTGCAGTGAAAGCCATGTTGAATGTCATACAAAGAGTGAAAGAAGAAACCTGTCTAAAAATCAAGCGTTCAAGTACTTTTGAAACTTGGGAGAGTAATGAAACAGGTCTGTAGTTGGTGACTTCATGAACGTCACCTTTCTTAGGTATTGGAACCACATTAGCAGTTTTCATTCAGAAGGAAATACACCCTGCTGAAGAGACAACTCGAAGAGAACTGTTAAAGACGGAGCAATGACTTCAGAACAGCGCTTTAAAAGGTATGCTGGTATGCCATCAGGGCCAGTAGATTAAGATGATAATCAGTTTAGCAGTAGACCTTGCTGCCGCCATTGTTCATTGTTCGAACCTACAGACTTAAATGAGACCACAAAGGCCCATTTCCCCATGCCGTTGCTTTTGAAGTGGAGCTTGCACGACTTACAACTTCCTGACATTTTCTGCACATAGGTGTTGAACCATCAAGTGGATTTTTAATAAAATTATCCCAAATTCCATGTTCTTCAGAGTGATTTTGTTTCTCAGTAGTTGCCATATTTAACAATCTCTTACTCTTAGGTATTACACTTGATTCTCAAACTCTGCAAAATCTTATGCAGAGCGATATATACACAGCTAATATAATGCAATATATACACAGCTAATTCAGAAAAGGTTGTCCTTTGAAAAACCTTGAACCCTTCACAAATAACTGCAATATTCAACTACTAAGCTTGAAACTTGTGCTCCCATTAAGGTTTAGAGTTTAAGGTTTTTCAAAGGACAACCTTTTTTTGAATTGGCTGTATATATGTATGTATACATAATATCATTAATTTATTATAGAGATAAAGTGGTAAAGGGACGGCTGGTTAATTTTGCAGGTTGCAGGTTCGCAATTCCCAACATCCAGACAATAAATGAGATCAGTGACTTTTCTCTACTTCTGGTTTTCAGCATGATCTCTGTGGCATGATGGCGAGTTATTTTCATGCAAGAATTTGAAATCAATTTATTTCGATTTTGAAACTCAATGTTTACCGATAAAAGGCAGTTTAGTTTTAAGAACATTTTGAAACGTTTTGCGAAGCACTTGTGGTTGATTTTTACATTAAATTGAAGCTTGTATTACGTATAATAACTTACCTAGCATATATATGTTTGGGAAATTGATAATTTGGGGGGATTTTTCAATTTTAAAACTATTCTTAAAATTATCGTGTTACCATGACAATACTTCATGTTTGGAAAACATAATAGTTTTGTCAGGAAGGCGAGGGTTTCTGCATCCATGTATTTTCTAGTATAGCTTATAATAGACATTTGCTCTATTGTATACAGTATATATACCAGTATTGGTATTTTTGTTTGAATAAAGTTAGTGTTTGTGATGAAAACCGGAAGAGGAGATCAGTCACTGGTCTCATTCATCGTCTGGATGTAGGGAATTGCGAACCTGCAACCTGCAACCTGCAAAATTAACCAGCCGGTAAAGGGAGGGGGATAAGCTTACTATTACTATGGGCAGGAGACCTGATATATATTTTTAAAAAGGGTCGTGTGTCACAATAGAACAATTTGTACAAATGGATTAGAATGATTTGTACAAATGGTTTTTCAAATTAAAATTAATTACAATTGATCAAAATTCAGATGTTAGATTTAAGGTGGTGGCTCCCTATGGTTTTTGATCAATGGAAATTACATTCAATATATATGTACATAAATAGGAGTCTCCAAGTTAATCATGTTTGTCACCTTTATTTTCATGTAGATTTTCCCACTACTGAGTTTGCAAGATATTTCTTAAAGGATTTGCTTTAAAATTTCATTCTGGCACCATCGACCATACAATACAAGCACAATTGAATTTCTACATCAAGGAAATGCTTACAAAGTGTTAATATATTCATTTGAACAACATTATAAGCACAAACTATCTTATTTAAAGCTTGAAGAACAGAAGATTGTCCAGTCTCTGAAGTTATTCCATCCAGAGCAAGCCAACTCTGTAATGGTACAGTTACAACAGAGAACCTGAAGGATGAAGGAAATGTATTAAGTATTGTGTTTAAATACATATGTTCGAGATGGCTTACGACCGAGAATTGCAAATGTAGTAGCACGCAATGATTATAGAATGTCTGGCTTAATCGAAGAGAGCTGGTTAATCTCACCGATCAGTATGAATTTAGTGATATTATCAGGTAAGAACTGTCATAGAATGGTCATCACTTTTTCTTTTTGTAAAATGGGTTTTCTTTTTTGCTTCATATTCAATGCCTCTCTCATTCTTTTCAATCTCTTTCGCTGTCCATCAATGACTTTTCGTAGCTTTGCCTTCCTGGGGGTACCACATGACAACTTTTTGCTAGTTTGGCATTTTGCATCAACATGCATCGTTTGTTCTAGAGTGGGAAAATAAGAGATTATTTATCTATGTAATTACCTGTTCACAAGAGCGAAATTATGGTCACACACCTCTCAAGCATTTTGAGAGGTTAAAGCCAATTACAGACGAGTAAGTTTTTTCTCGCAAAATACAAATTTTGCTCGTCTGTATGGGTCAGCAGAGCAAATTTGGCAAAATAATCTAAGCACTTGGCTTATTATGCATGTGGTTTGTCGGCAATTTATATCATAACAGTTAACAATATAATAGCTATATATCGTGGCGGTCAGAAACCCAAAAAAATTATCATAGAAACTTTGTTGTACGTACACACATGCAATTGACAAAGAAAACTTGTCATATGAAAACTTGTCACCGATAACTTGTTTGTCTGTAACCAGCTTAAAGCCTGGATTAAACAAGGTTGCGCATGCTCGATAGAGGACAGTCACGAGATCTTGGTTATAATACTTCCCAACTCTATCCTGTATTAAAATATTAAAAATGTATTTGAAACACTTATTAAACTTTTCTTTTGTTAAATATAGTGCTTAAATTGAATCCCGTAAGAATAGTCAATAGATTATAAACTCTCATCCGGTGTTCCCGGACTTTATATGCAAAAAAAACTATTGGCTTGCAGCTGGCTGGAACATATAAAACGTGTCTCGTAACTTTGTAGCGTTATGAAATATGTTGTAACTTTGTAACGTTATGAAATAATTGATATAAATTATTGTTATCCATGTTATCCTGATAAATAACATTCCCATTCTCAGTTGTCACTTGTGAACTTTGCACACCTGCGCCAGAATCGAAAATTATAAGTAAGAGTTATAAACCGAGTAGGAGGTTTATAACTGATATATTGATATTAACTGTTTATAATTGATATATTGCAATATATCAGTTATAAACCAACTTTCGAGGTTTATAACTAACTTATATCACACTTGCGGAGGTTTTCCAACATATTTTGTCATTTTCAAAAATTTTTAATGAAAAATTCTCGCGTTTTGTCTACAAGTTTAATCCAATCATTTATTCAGGGTCTATAAGCTAGTTATAAACCTCGGACGAACAAAGAAAACCGACGCAAGTGTGATATAATTATTCATAAAGGCATTTATTAACAACTATCAGTGCCTTTATTCACTGGTGCCAACCCAGGAAAATCTTACAGAATATTGAGAATATACTTTAAAACCCCCTCCCGCTACAAGTACCTCGAACTCCTAAGGAAAACGAACAATTGTGGCCCGCTTTACCGAGCCAAAATCCTTTGAAGTAATTGCCGGCAATAAAAAGTCTTTGGAGGTAATAATACATTTTGCTGTCTTGCTAAATTCACGTGGGAACTTCATGTTTATGCCATGGGCCTGTTCAATAAGGTCCCAGTAATGGCTGGTCTCCAGGAAAATTTCCTGGATGGAGATCAGCCATTACTGGGACGTCTTCTCCTACGTACAGTATGATCACACCTTTTTATTACTTTTACTAATCGCCTTCATATGAGCAAGCGGATGTTCCCGCTTGGTGAGATCTCACTCACATAGGCCTCTTAAAAGCGAGATGATATGAGCAATTGTAATGCCGATCTGCAATGAAAGTTTTCAACATATTCAGTAAGTAGAGTAATACCTCTGTATAATAATGGCCAACGAAATATTCCAGGAAACTATAGACCGATATCAGTTTTGTCGGCCATTAGCAAAATTATGGAATGAGTTATGTACGATCAACTGTACAACTATTTAACAAAATATGAACTCCTTAGTAATTCACAATTTGGTTTTTGAGAATTTCACTCCACAGCAACTGCATTGCTGGACTGTACCAATGATTGGTATATGAATATAGACAGAAAAAGTTTAACCTAGTAGTTTTAATTGATTTAAAAAAGGCATTTGATACTGTTGATCATCAAATTCTGTTGAGGAAGTTAGAGCTCTATGGGATAAAAGGAAAAGCTCTAACTTTGCTCAAATCATATCTTACAAAACGATATCAGAAATGCCAGATAAAAAACTCCTTTTCATCAGAACAATTGATTAAATGTGGTGTACCGCAAGGCTCTGTTTTAGGGCCACTATTCTTTTTATTGTATATTAATGATTTGCCTGAATGTCTAAACAAAACAAAACCTTGGTTGTTTGCTGACGACAGAAATCTGACAGCCTTAGGAGATTCAATTACTGACATTGTGACTGTAGTAAATTCTGATTTAGAAAACCTCAGAAAATGGCTAACCGCAAATAAACTTAGCCTCAATGTAGCTAAGACCGAGTTTATGTTAACAGGTTCAAAACCAATGATAAAAAATATTTATATTTCCATCCCAATGTTTTAATTGAAGATAAACAAATCAAACAAGTTTATGAATGCAAAAATCTTGGAGTAACCGTTGATCAGCCTTTATCTTGGAAAAGTAATACTGAAAATATTTGCAAAAAAATAACAGCAGGAATCTCTGCTATTCGTTGAGTCAAACCTTTTGTTGACAAAGATACTCCCCATACTTTGATTACTGCTGTGAAGTATGGGACGTGTTTGGTGAAATGCAATCAAAACGACTCCAAAAACTACAAAATAGAGCTGCCAGAGTTATTATGGATATGAACAATGACGTAAATCATTCTATTGCTTTACATGCACTAGGCTAGGAACCACTCAAAACAGAAAGGAAGAAAGCTAAGGCAAAAATGATGTATAAAGTGTTAAATAAAATGGGTCCCAAATCACTTACTAATCTTTTTTTATTAGTTTTATAATAAGAAATTGAAGGCACAGACAACAGGAGTAATAAAGTCCCAAATTAAGTCCTGCCTTTTTTCATACAAAAATGAGAAAACAAATAAAATTGCTGTTTACATCATTGACATAGAGTATAAATAAGTAAATTGATGTGCCTGTAAATATTCTAATAACGTTCGTATCATGTAAATAATTCAGTATTTTGCCAATTTTTTTGTAAATAGCTCTTAATATCTTCTTTATGGAATTTTTTCTATTTTTGCACATGCCCCTCGTGGAAATCAGCTTCGGTTGATGGGGTTAGCATGTATAAATAAAGTTATCTATCTATCTATCCCTTACAGCTCTTTGATCAACTTTCATCTGCAGAGAAGCCATTTTGTTCAGCTCATCTGACACTTTACTCCAAG